ACACTAAATAAATATGCTGTTTTCATAACTGAGAAAAATATTCTTACCAGTAGTGACAATACAAGATTCCATTTAGATTGTTAAAATTATATAAACAACATAGATACAAATTATTTCAACTGTTACTGACATACTACACAATGTTCTGCTGTGTTAGGCAACATCCATAAAACTGAATCAATGAGTACTACATCGGCTATCAGAAGAAATCAAACACCCCAAGACACACAAAAAGATTACAACTCTTGAGTCAATGGATGCTGTATTGCCAGAAATTAATGTGTAACTGAATACATTAAGCTTTCTCATAAATTAACTTACAAGGTTAAAAGAAAGAAGAACACAAATAATGGGCATAAAAAGACTTGAAAAATGTTATGTAAATGAATAAAATCAAGCTGCATAAATAGACTTCCCAGACTGACTCCTCTGGAGTACTAACAATTAACCTGAAAACTTGAATTGTGTAGAATGCATGGTGTGGCTGTACCTTTGCATACTGTACTCAAACTGAAAGTTCCATTCAGGTCCTCACAATGAGCTCATACCTAAGACTTACAGTGAACAAAAGGAGAAATACTGCTCAAACTCATGATATGAACTGGCCCAACTTTTCAGTGGCTCTGATCTAAAAACTAAGTACATGTTAGTATCCCATCAGCAGACAGGCAAGCAAAATCATATTAGGAAAAATAAGATTGCTGTCTTCTGGGTTGTTGTGCAGTGTAGTCTGGTAGATATCCACTGTGCAACAACCCAGAAAACAGCAATCTTCATACTCACCTCAGTGAAAACCTCAAATCCTACATCATATTAGGGTGGTTAATAAATCATTTGAAAGTGTGACAAAGTTCAAATATTGGAGAACAAAAATAACAAATCAAAATGATACTCATGAGAAAGTTAGGAGATTAAATTCTGAAAATGCTTGCTACTTCTCAGTTCAAAATATTTTGTCTTCCCATCTGATTTCTAAGAACCTGAAAATTAAAATACACAAAACTGCCTGTTGTTTTGTATGGGTGCAAAACATGGTCTCTCACTCTGAGAAAGTAACACAGATTGCAGGTGTTTGAGAATAGGGTGTTGAGGTGGGTATTTGGGCCTAGGAGAGAAGACAATGGGGTATGGAGAAAACTGCATTATGATGAGTTTAAAAATTTGTACTCCTCCCCCAGCATTGTCAGGGTGATTAAGTCAAGAAGAATGAGATAAGCGGGGCATATGGGGCACATGGATGGTGCAAGAGGGGTGCACCAGGTATTGGTCGGGAAGCCTGAGGGGAAGACACCGCTGGGGAGACCTAGATGTAGATGGGAGGATAATCTCAGGTGGGATCTGCGGGATATAGGAGTTGAAGGAGACTGGATTTTGTTAGCCCAGGACAGGGTCTGGTGGAGGTCTTTCGTTAATTCGGTGATGAACCTTTCAATTCCATAAGCCATCTAGTTAGTTAGTAAAAGTTATCAATATTCTAAATATGTACTGAACTCCATGTAAATGCAGGAAAGTATATGTAAGTCAGACTGGAAGATCCATTGAGGTTAGATGAATAGAGCATATGATATATATATATATATGTCTTGAGCAGCCTGAAATGTCTGCAGTTGCGGAGCACAGCATAAACAATGGACACCGCATTGACTTCAGCAGTACCCCTGTGTTAGACAAGACAGCAGACTACATGGACCACCCTCATGAAGGAACCCACTGAAATTCAACTGAACTCAGGGAACTTCAACAGAGTGATCAGCCCATCACAAGGACTCTATCTATATACAGGACAGCACAACACAGAAAGAATCAGACAAACATACAGGCTTTGAGTGGGATTCGAACCCTCAGTCCCAGTGTTGAGGCGGACAAAGTCCACACCTCAAACCGTGCGGCCACTGTGACTGGGAACTAAACTTTACAGAAGTATGGATAACATACAAACATACACACAAACACAAGTTAGGAAAGGTGTGCACAGCATAATAATTATGGCACAGGTTCCAGGATTTTAAGTTAACATGGCACCAGTGGTTCAATGATCTTTGCATGGGTGGGATCTCTGGTGCCTGTCTGGGTAAAGTTGTAAGAGGGGATTCCCCAACTTATGCCTGTTAGGACTCCCCATGCCATGATTCCCCAACTGAACACATCCCACTCATTCAATCTGGCACAGAAAATGCAGGTACATCTTTATGTGAAGTGCTTGTTTTTGTTACCTAATCTTAACCAAAACTGGAATGTGTTGACAAATTTTAATTTTCTTAAAATTTGTCCACAATTTAACATTTCATGAAAATCCATTCAGCAGTTCTCAAGTTGTTACATGTGGATAGACTGACAAAGAAAAACCAACAGGTGTATTTTTTAGAATTTTTAGCTGCAAAAGCACCTAGAAACTCAAAATGGCTTTTAGTTCAATTACATCTCGTTTAGAATTACCAAACTTACTGGAAACAAAATATAACAACAATGGAAAATAACAGAATACCAAGACAGATTACAGCATGAAACCTAGGAGGACAAGTTAAGAAGATAACTGAAGAGGTGGCATAAAACAAAAACAGGCCACATGGCCTAATACCTAATAGGATGATGTCATTCAAATACGATTAATTCAAATGTGAAACAAATCACAGTTATTAGTGCAAAGGCATGCAAAACGAACATACTGTACTCCTACACTGTTTAAGTAATGTATGAAATAATTCAGTTTTAATTATTAGCTAGCCAGAACAAAAATATTTTCTAATTCAAAACTGCTGATGTTATTCTTGACAGCTCCCTTTTACAGAAGAAAACATCTAAGAAAAAATATCTTAGGTTCTTCTTTAAATTCTGATTTCTGTCCAACACACTGTCCAGGAATATGAACTGACACTCTTCAATTATGCATATTATTAAGTTTTTGCATTTTTTAAAAAGTCTAATTTTTGTGGGTATGCTATACATAATCCATACATTTTTTCCTTCTACAATTAGGTGACCATAATCTGTACATAAAACTAGATTACTTAGTATGCACTATGTTGGGTTAATTGGTAGTAAAAGATTGCTAATTTTATCATTTGAATTCTTCAAATATTTCTTACACTTTATACATTCCACAACTTGTTTTCACTGAATACTGTACAGATGACAAGCTTTAAAAAATGTAAACTATCAATCATTAAATCCAAATTCTTTCATGTACTTTAGTATTCATGTCACATCAATATTCCTTCAGTGTGTCTCAACAGTCATATTGCACAGTCAAAAGGTTGCACCACATGATGCATAACATATGACAGAATGGTTCTCATCTGTGATGAATGCAGTGTCACCCCTCTCAAATGCCATGCTTGTGTTTTAAACTTGGGGCTATCTCTTTCACACTGGCAACAAAATTATTTGCTCATGTTGTCTTTCATATGTAAGGATAGAATGCATTAAATACACACACACTTTGATTTTGTGTTTGCAAAGTTCCACTTGCGCATCTTATAATGTGGCACTTATCAGAATGATGATATATCTCAGCCAATAAACATTCAAACATGTCTGGAATTACAGTTTCAATAATCCTATGTTTTAATGTTTAAACACTGCCTGTATGCCCAAAGGTCACATAAACTATTCTTTATGTAATGCTATAGGAAAATCCAAGGCACATTACATCAGGGGACCTAGGTGACCATGAAATACCCCAGTGCTATCTCTCACATTTCAACAGAACAAAAAACTCCTTATTTAGAGCCATTTGATGAAAACTATAAAAATGTGATGGCACACCACTTTTCTTGAAAAGAACTCCCTGTTCTCCTAGTTACAGAAAAAGTTTCTGGCATATCCACTAGTGCACAACTACACCATGTGCCAACTATCTACATGACTCAGCACAATCAGTGCAATGGCAACACCACAGAAGAAAGCTCAGTGCACATTATGGCTCATAGTGATTACATGTTACTAACGTTTGAAGGGCATTTAGAAACGCTATGGCTAAGATCCTCCTCATGACAACAGTACTGGGAAGTGGCATATGAGACAATCTTCTATCCATCAAACTAGTCTGAAAACACACGTCAACTTAATGAACACATCTGTGACTTACAAAAGGTAAATGATCTTAAAACTTTGCATACCGTGTAGTGTATTAGAATATAGAGCAAGCAAACCAACAACTATTAACACTATAATAAGACACTATTGCCATACGCGTTTTGACCTCAAGAGGTCATCAGTGGCATCAGGGAAATTAATACATTTAGTCAAATGGTTAAAACTTGATTCAGAATTAAAAATGAAAAAAAAGGGTATTTGACGAAATATTCATTCTGGAGTTCACAGGTACAGATGACGCAACTACAGCTCGCCAAGACCAGCTACGGCCACCGAACATGGGATCAATGGCTAAGTGCAAGTTCTACTCCTGTGAATAACAGCATCTAGTGCAGTGTCACTTCAAATATTTTGTCAAATACCCTTTTCATTTTTAATTCTGAATCCAGTTTTAACCATTTGACTAAATGTATTAATTTCCCTGATGCCACTGATGATGACCTCTTGAGGTTGAAACGCGTATGGCAACAGTGTCTTATTATAGTGTTAATAGTTGTTGGTTTGCTTACTCTATAAAAAGTAAATGATTGATGTGGCCATTTCCATAGGAAAGATTACTCCTTATCCGTCCTTGGAGCTACCATAATGGGGGCAATATTTCCAATACAATAGTGCTTGGCTGGATTTTTATAACTTTGCTCGAGTCGCTCTAAATGTAAAGTTTCTAGAGTATTAAGAGCAGAGGAGTGGCCCTACATCATGACCTAAATCCATCTGAATATGTGCTGCATTACAAGAGTTTTACATATGGATTATTAATGTGATATCTGCCACATTATTAAAGGTGCATGTGAAACTTTACTAACACAATTTCTATATGTGGATATGCTACATATGTAAATTTGTTTCTTTAATTTTGGAAAGAAAAATCACAGTGAATAAATTACGTGATGGTGTAAATTATGCAATGAAATCCAGTAACTTCTCTTTATTCTGAGAAAGGTAATATATGAGATACCTGTTTTTCACATGACCTGTGATAAAGTGCGCACAATGGAAATTTGTCTGGTCCTACATCAAATTTAGAAATAAAAGAGAAGTTTCAACCGTAATGAAACAGTCTCTTATCTTTCTGGAGTCTTTTACAGACATTACAAATGATTCCAGGTTTGTACTAATAAGCAACAATGACATAACATGAGCACTAATTTAAGGTTAAGGCAAATGCTAGTATATCATAAAATAAGCAATAATAATTTCCATTCTTTATAAAGAATTCATAATTCTGCCCAGGACATGCTTACTTACTTACACTTTAGAATTCTTTACATCTGATACACAAAAATATGAAAATGTGATATTTCTAAGACAGCAATGATTTTATACAACCATGACACTGTATAAGTATACCCAATATACAGGCTGATCCAAAAGTCGTGCAACCCGACCCAAAAGTCGCGCAGAAGAGCATGGAAAAGTAAGTATTGGCAACACTGTACATGCCGAATAAATCAACAATATGCCGAATTGTTCGCCGTTGCTACCCTGACTGAGGTTTTCCGTGCTTTTCCTCAGTTGTAAGGCGAATGCCAGGGTATAACTTAATAGGGGCACGGCCCCCCACCCCCCGATCATGGAGGCCATCAGCTGAAGCGATCTTCCCCCCATGCCGCAGAGGCCTTCAGCCGAAACGGCCCCTCCCTCTCTGGGTTCAAACCCCAGAGATCCAACCAACCAAATTCCTTTGGACAACTTGCCTGACAGGATAACCTCCCATCAGCAGCAACAGATCCCAGTTGTAATGGACGAGGCTCTCGCCACGACGAAACCCCGTTAGCGTTAGCATAATTTCCGTTTTTTCTAGTTAAGACCGTGTACCATTTCCAGCAATACACCTTGTGCGCAGGTATGGTGTCACCTAGGTAGGGATGATGCTTGCGCTTGCGCAGGACTCCGCCCTCAGTTAGCTTTTTTGGTTGGTTGGTTGGTTGGTTGTTCGCCGTTTTCGTGAAATAGGCTGCGTAAGTGACAAGAAGCAAACTGGATGGCCATCAAGTCTGAGTGAAAAAATTTGAATGAAGTTAGGCTGTGGTTAGAATGGTGACCCAGGTAGTCCTTATGAAGATTAGGACAGCAGCCTGGATTGAGTTATGGAACAATGCAGAGGTGTACGAGGCGGCTGAAACTTATGCCTTACAGAATTCACACAATGCACGAATTCAAGGAACTGGACAAAGGGAAAATATTACGATACTGTGAATGGTTCCGAGAACTTTTGAGGGACGGTGTCGGTATCTTGGACAACATTTTCATCACAGATGAGGCTTGGTTTCATTTAAGTGGTTATGTAAATAGTCAGAACAGTAGGTTTTTGAGCTCTGAAAATCCACACGTTTTCTATGAGGTGCCCTTACACAGTCAGAAGATTGGAGTGTGGTCACAGGGTGGTAGGTCCTCTTTTCTTTAGAGAAACTGTTATTGCTGAACATTACCAGGAATTTGTTATGCAGTTTATTGCATTACTGGAGGAAACAGAACGTGATTGCTGGTTTCAGCAAGATGGGGCCACTGCACACACAGCCAATTCCATCCTGGCAATGTTGGCTGAGTTTTTTGGTGATTGTGTGATTTCTAAGGGTTTGTGGCCACCTTGTTCCCCAGACCTAACACCACCTGATTTTTTTCTGTGGGATACTTGAAACAAAAAGTATATGCAAACAACCCTTGAACCCTGGCTGAACTGCAAACCAACATTGAGAAGTGCATTGCAACCATACCCCAGGCAATGCTTCGTCGTGTGTCTAGAAATGTGATAAAAGAGTGAATTTGTGTCACAGAGAAGGAGGATCACACTTTTAACACCTTCTGTGATTTCCATTTGGTAAGGTGAACATTACATTTGCATATGGTTTGGTTTACATTAGATTTGTATATTACTGTATATTATATGTACATTAATACTTTGGGTTGTGCGACTTCTGGATCATCCTCTATATTGAAGTAAAAATTAGTTTATGAAAACAATAACAAGAATCAATATAAAAAAAGAAAAAGGAAAAAAGCATGATAGAAGAATGGAAAGAAAATGATAAGTGAGGAACTGGGACTAACACTGGATTCACCCAATACCTCCAAAACGTGGTAGGCTACATCTAAAGAAAAATGAAAACAAATGACACATCATAACAAATTTTACCTGCAGGAAATTAAGTGGTTGTGGTTTCTGAGGAAATGCACCATTCGTGGCTGTAGCAGGTATCACTTTACCATCAAACACCTGTGCAAGCTGCAAATGAAAATGTAAAAAAAGAGAAAAAAAAGAATGCAAAAGAAAAGGGGATGAAGTGTAAAAAATGAAACCGTAGTAGGATTTGAGGTTTTCATGGCAGTGAATCTGAAGATGGCTGTCTTCTGGGTTGTAGTGCCAAGTGGTCTGGTACAAGTTAAACAAAGTTTCGGAGGTTGTTGCTGCCTCCATCATTAGGGCGATGATGGATGCAGCAGGGACCTCTGAAATTTTGGCAAACTTCAATCAGGCTATATGGCACTACAACCCAGAAGATAGCCATCTTTGAAATAAAACCATGCAAAAGTAATGCCTACATTAAATAGCTCAAAAACTTGAAATACATTACAAAATACATTTACACATCAATTATATTTATGAACAAATTTAGCTATTAAACAAAATGCAAAAGCATGCAAAGTTAGAACCACAAAATAACACATGAGAAAGTTTAGAAGAAGTAATTAAGCAATTCTTAAAACTACTGAATGGATTTAAATTAAACTTGATACTGGATGTCTACATGAAACCTGCTGGAAGGAAAATTTAATTCTCGTTCATTATCAGGCAATTATAAGTCAAATTTTAAAATAAACTCAAACTAAATTTTAAAACATGTCCCATACTTTAAATGAAACTAAAATATTGATGTGTTATTCAACTCAATGATAAACTAAACAGTATTCCTTACAACCATATACTGTAAAGATTGTATGAAGCAATACAGTAATAACATCTTTTCAATAACAGCATAAAATTACATGTTTCAACTCGAGATAAAGCAACGCATACAGTAATCTGTCAGACAACCCAATTACATATGCAGAATATACTCGTACATTTTATCTAAAGGACATTTCCAAAAAGATGCTCCAGTTCCAATTACACCTACTAAAATAAATTATATACCTACAAATAAACAAGGTGGTATCTACAGACGCCTTGGATCACACATTTCAAATATGTGTAACAATGGCATTAAACCCACCTATAGTCAGTCACCTTTGGAAATGTATCACTGCCTCAGCCAGTGTGTTCAATGATGCTGTTCATAGCTGTTGAATATTTTTGATTCAGATCTTGAATTGTATGTGAAATATTTCTGTACACAGCATCTTAAGGAAACTCCGTATGAAGAAATCAAAGAAATCACATTGACTGACATGAATGGTACTCTGATCAGGAACAACCATATTCTAAATGCACAGGAAATCATTAGATAGGACTTTGTCATAAAAATGCTTATCAAGAAGGTTCAGCACTGTATTTGCTGTGTGCAGTCAAGCACCAGACAGTTGAAAATGTGTTTCTTTGAAAGTGGAAGAACACAATAAACTGTTTTCTTAAGACACGGAGATTACATTCAGCATACACTGTCAAGAAAAACTGTCCAAGAACACCTTGAGCAAAAACGACATACAGTACAAGGCAATTTTGAGAATGTAATGACCTCTCCATTATTTCATGTGTGTTTTCTGAGGTCTATATAAATAGCCACAGAAAAAAAAGGTGTCTGTAAGCCATATTCTTTACAGAAGTGCCAGATTTTAATCTAAAATTCAAAGAAATGGCCCATATAAAGCCAACACTTTTTTGTTTATCACCCTACACAATGGCATGCTTTATATGAATTTTGTATGAAAATTATTTCACATCTTTCTGAAAAATCCTGTATGATGATGATTTTCCCAAGTCAAGTTGTTGAGAAATACGTCTTACAGATTTTCTGGGGCTGTGCATCATGCTTGTTGAACATGATCAATGCTCTCACATGTTCCATCTTCCTTTTACAAAGAATACACTTCTTATTGTCAACCACTGTCCCTAACATCTGATACTTGTTTACCAATCTGTTTATTACAGGCCTGCTCAGAGTTTCCATTTAACCAGCACTATAAGCATAGTACATATTTTCACTAACAACTGTACTGTGCATGTTATTTTGTTAAGCATTGCTTCATGATAATGTAACACAGTATAAGGACTGCTGTGATCAGTGACATCACACACAATTATATTATGATATATTTTATAATATAATTAAAACTGAACCACTTTTTAAGAAATACCCTAATAGTAAAAAGTACACAAAGGGAAAATCTTAAGCACCACATACGGTAAACTTATATCAAGCTGTTGTCTCTAAATTTCTTACCAGCTTTTTGAAGGCCACCAAATCCTCTTCAGTCTTCTTATTTAATGACGAATGTGTTATGTTCTTGTTATTCTGTTGTGCAACATTTAGACCCTGCTGCCTCATTCTGGCTTCTAGTTCCTCCACACTCTGCATCTTCCCAGCAGCTTCTGTCACAAGAACAAATTGCATTCAAATAAATATCAATATTTCAAAATACTAGAACATTAAAGCAGGTACATAAAATGTCACTACATACAGATTAGGATGTTAAGGCCTTATGTATCACAGCTGATCTCTGCCAAGGTTTTTCATGATTTTAGTCAACCTCATTGGGAAAATGGGACAGTATCTTAAAAAGACAGGTCAGCTTTCTTCTTCATTATTCCAAATTTATTATTCACAGCTGGTAATATACATAACATACCTGATAAAGTGCCATTAAATAAAGTATGAAAGGCAAGGCATGTCCTTTAACATTTAATCTATATCAATCAATCTGACAACCTGAAACACATTTCCTCCAAGAAGTAGGAATGCACTGTAAAAGAAAGATCTGTCGCCATCAAAATAATTAATTTCATGGTCAAGTGGTTAGTACTTGACCTCCATATTCTGGAGATGTTGGCTCAAATCTCTGACCATTGACCAGTCATCCTGACTTAAAGTACACATATGCTATATTTATTCAACTACTTTTTGCACATGTATCAATCTATTCATTAACAAAAGACAAATGCATATCAGTCTATCATCAGTGCCCTTAAAACAAAACAGATGCACATCATATTCGAGGATTCAACTTGAGAAGAACACAGCACAGTACAGACATGCCTAGGATCAACAGAATATGCTGTAAATTACAAATCAAATAACAGAGATGAGGACCTTGTAACATGCAGGTTAGTTAAGAAGGAACTGTGACCAAATCAAACTCTTTTCATGTTCCATGGTAAACAGAGAACATCAGGTTCCTCTCAAAATGCCTCCTGCTATGAACAAGCTAACAGCAAAGTTCTGTTCAGCCAGTCTTATCCATGCGAGACAGGCTACATTTTTCAATGCTATCTACAAGTTAGCTTTTTAAAATTAAACTTTACAAGGCATGTTCTGACCAGTGATTTACAACTGGTCTTCAGTTGTGGTGTG